AAAAAAAAAAAAAACATTACAAGAAACAAGCAACAGTTAAAAAGCACAATGATGCACAGACAGACAGTTAGGGTTTGAACAAAATTCCTAAAAATTGATGAAAATTCTGTACCTTCTCCAGTGCCGGTTGGATCACCTCCTTGGACTAGGAACGACTTGATGACACGGTGGAAAACGGTGTCGTTGTAGTAGCCTTCGAGGCACAGCTGTACGAAGTTGCGGACGGCCTTGGGCGCCTCCTTAGGCCAGAGTTCGATGTCCAGCGGGCCATACGACGTAGTCAGTATCACCTTTCCCTTCGTCGGCGGCTCCAACACATACACTGTCGACATTTTCTGATGAGTCTTGATTGAGTTGAACCACCAAGTTACAGTATTAGCCTATCACAATCGGGACTAACGTTGTTCAGAAATTTGTTGGTCTGATAAAGGATTAGGGCTCCATTTGGGGAAGTCATGAATTTATGAACAATTCGGTTCAAAACGACGCGTTTAAGGGAGGCCATTGCTCCAATTTCAGCTATTACACATTTACTATAACACTAATTATAAAATTTAGCAAAATTGCCTCTATTATCACGACTTTTTTGGTAATTGCAATTTGTTATACCACAAATCCTCGAACCGCTCGATCGCTCCTCTCGAACCGGGTTGAGCTTCCTGGATCGTCGGTACCTGAAAAACACGTGGGGTGGTCCCGGCGTGGACACTCCGACGCTCAAGTGAGTAGTGTATCCGAGAGAGAAAGCGGTAAATTATCGAGATAATGCGTATGTGTGTGATGTGTAGAATGAATGAACTTGTGCCCTTTTATAAGTGAAGTTTAAGACTCCTCGTGGGACAAGAAGTCTTTCCGGTGTTCATCTCTCAATCAGGTCAGGAGATCCCGAATCTTCAGAGTCCTTGAGGTTGTGGAGCTGAAGGCGAACGAGGAGATTATCGAGCGAAGTGATCTTTCGTCTAGCCTGCTCAACTTGATGTCACAAAGCCACTTCTAGTCCCTCAACAGAACCCTCTGGAAGAGCTGTCTAGGTGCCAAGGTGCCTAGCTGCTGAGATGCCTAGGCGATCACATCCGCCTAGCTCATCAATCTCTTGGTATTCCGCCTAGCTCATGCCGAGCTAGTCGTCGCCTAGCTCCCATCTACTCCAGAGGTACCATTAGCGCCCAGCTGGTCGAACCACGCCTAGTTGGTTGAACTACGTTAGCTGATTGAACCACACCTAGCTAGTTGAACCACGCTTAGCTGATTGAACCACGCCTAGCTAGTTGGACTACGCCTAGCTGGTTGAACCACGCCTAGCTGACCCATCTTTGGTATACCACCGAAGTGCTCATGCCAAGCTAGCCCCCTGCATAGCTCCTATCAAGTATGAATGTGATTAAACTCGGATCACAATCGGTCCTGCATGAATCGCTACTTACGACCATATAACAAGTTAATCACTACTTTTTTATTTTACAAATTATATTATAATTTTTAATTATTTACGAATCAATACATTGATTCTGACAACTAGAAATGCTGATGAGTTAGGAAAATACCACATCACCTGTTGAGGTATTTATCAACTATTTTTTTTCCACATCAAATGAGATTGATGTCGTTTCATTTCATATCGACAACCTTCCTCGAGAAATTTATGCCGAGTAACCTAATGGGCCAACTGAGGAGCAGCCTTGGCAGTCTTGAGCCTGGTTTGCTACTTTTCTTACTTGGGTTGCCAGTAATATATGTGCCACATCATTATGTGTGATGAGGATTTTAATGATACAACATGTTATATATATTTTTGCACAAGTTAAATTTATATTGCATTTTCAATGAGTAATACAAGTAGATTGTATAACACTACATATTAACTCCATATTTTTAATTGAGTAAGTTGTAATTTTAGTTCTGTATGTTTCACTACCTAAACTTTTTCGTCCTATTCGAATTATGTTTTTTATTTTCGTCTCGTATGTTCGCAAAAAAGTTACAAAAAGATTCTATTCGCAACAAAAAGGTCTTTTATTATGTTTTGCCAAAAAAAAATTCTATTTCATCCTTTATATATGAAAAAAGATCTTTTTGTATATTTTTGTAAATATATGGGATGAAAATAAAAAATAAAAAAAAAAAGGCAAACGAAAATATTAAAATAGTGAAATATAAGACTAAAATTAATAATAAAAATAATAGAAAATGTTGAAGACACAGGGTTTAGCAATTAGCAGCTGCGCCTTTCTGCAGCTGTTGCTCTGTGTGAGAAAAAAGAAATTTGTGTCTCAGCTTCTCGAGTTCCATTTGAAACTTTTAAATAAACTAAAGGGTTGTTCCCAAATTAGTTTATCACCCAAAGGGTAGCTGGGTTCCTTTGTTTTCCTCGAGCCAAATCTCTTTGATTGCGATTTCTTGGATTGTCGGCGAGAAGGTACGCCTTTTAATCGGCTGATTCACAATATTTGTAGTGCAAGTCAAGTACGTATGAACACCTGCAATTATTTGATTGCTTTCGGAGCTAAATGTGGACAAGGGCTGATACGGGGAGTTTTAGTTTTTTGTGACCTAGTGGCTTTAGTTCATTATGAAAAACTGTTCTCACTTCTCAGATTAGTTTCTTATATAAACCCTTTTATTGGTTTCGAGTGTTGTGCATTATACCCATCTAGAAGTGAATTTGATATTGAAGTGAAAATTGCAGCAAGATTGTCAAGGATTGAGGATTCATAGACCTTCATATGGCCTCTGTTCTTTAATAGTTGGTTAAAGATTGCAACTTTTTTTGTTCTGTTGAAGATTCTTGAAGCCTAATGTTTTGTTCTGTATTTATGCTTTACTAGTCCATTTTAAAGGAATGAATGTTTTGGAATCGAGTATTTGAGTTTTTCGTAATTTACTTCTTGGTTTTTCCTCTTCCCATTTTGTGTACTAGAAGAGGTACTGAGCAATGGCATCCACACCTGAAAAACAAGTATGTGTAGAGGAAAATCAAAAGGCACAACAGCCAAATATACAAATATATTCGCCTTCCAATGACGAAGTATCAGCTTTTTGGAGAGGTCACATTTCTTGAAACCTTTTCTTATAAAAGTTTTGGAGCGTCTCTTAATGATTGAATTGCGAGTCATAGTGTGCTGAATCAGTATTTTCTGTTGGCAGATAAGTATGAGAAAGATGCAAAGAAATACTGGGATATCTTTTATAAACGTCATCAGGACAGAGTGAGTTTCTACTGAACAGGTTCTGCAAATGTATACTATTTACGGCAATTTAGAGAACTGCCATTTAACTGAGTAGTCAATGCTTGTTTGACCTCTACCAGAGTTTATGTTGTAGGGTCATATTTGTTTGTAGCCGTGCGAGGTTACTGAATTCAGATGCTAATCTGTTCGTTTCGTGTTATTCAGTTCTTTAAGGATCGTCACTATTTGGACAAAGAATGGGGACACCACTTTTCTGTAAGTGCAAAAAGCTGATAGCATGGTAGCTGGTGCCATTTAAGTGTTAACTCTAATAAATTGTATAATTAACAGATTTCCGTTCTTTTTTTTTTTCATTTTCTTTTCTCTTCATCTATTTTTTTCTTTCAGGGAGAAGGACGACGGGTCATACTAGAGGTATGATTTCTGATGCATCCACTTATTGGGTTTATATTTTGTTTTTATGTAGTGTAGTTAATATTTATTTGTGTCTATTGTCCTGGTTAAACTTGGATATAGTAAAAACATTTTACTTTTACGCACTCAAGACATTGAAATTTCCATTTATATGGTTGCTCGGTTGATGAATGCGAGAACTTTGTGCTTACCAGGTTGGGTGTGGAGCCGGAAATACGATCTTCCCATTGCTTGCAACATACCCAGACATATTTGTGCATGCTTGTGATTTTTCACCACGTGCAGTTAATTTGGTTAAGGTAAGATATAATACCCTTTCCCTTTGCTGTTCATTTGATTCTTTCCTTTGAGGTTTTGTTGGTATTCTTGAGTGACTTGATTTTTCTCGTGATTTCGTTAAGATGCACAAGGAGTTCACAGAAGCCAGAGTCAATGCATTTGTTTGTGATCTTATCACTGATGATCTAAGCTTGCATGTGGCGCCTTCTTCAGTGGACATTGTAACTATGGTAATAGTTTATTTATACATACTTGATGATTTTTTTTGAATTTTTCTTCTTTTGTGCGAGAGATGTTGAATAAAACCATTCTTCCTATCCTATAAACTAGGATGTTGCTGTTAAAACACACCGGCTGACTTTTTTTGAATTAGATATTTGTTTTATCTGCAGTTTCCCCAGAAAAAATGCCCCTGGTGGTACAAAATATCCAGAAAGTTCTCAAGGTGAGTACTGAATTTGCAAATACTTTTATTATGCTATCAAGCTCCATTTAAGTGCACTATCACTAATAAGAGACATATTTTCTTATTCCAGCCAACTGGTCGTATATTGTTCCGCGATTATGCAACTGGTGATCTTGCTCAGGTAGAGTTTTGATCAAACAGTGATTTGATGATGCATATAGCATCTGAAAGATTAAAGAAGAGATTATAACCCAATTTTGTTAGTATGGGTTTACATATTACTCTCCTCTTGATCTCAGAATTGCACACACACACACACACACACATATACATATACTTCTTCACACTGTATACATTGTTTTATCCAATATGAACAGGAAAGGTTCACTGGCAAGGAGCAAAAAATCAGTAAAAATTTCTATGTTAGGGGAGATGGCACTGTAAGTTGCTATTCGCTCAGATTATTCCTTCTTGAACTTATGTGGAATTCATTCAGCTTCTTATAAAATTCATTCGGGCTTCACCAGCGAGCTTTCTACTTCTCGGACGAGTTCTTAAGAAATCTTTTCCTACAAGATGGGTTTGTCATGGAAGAACATGTCTTGTGTTGCAAGCAAGTGGAAAACAGATCCAAAGAGATTATAATGAACCGGTAAAAGTTAAAACGAGTCCAATTGTTAATTATCCACAATTGCACACTTTGCATGATGGTTTGCTATTTTGTAATACAGGCGGTGGATTCAAGCTGTTTTTCGGGTGGTTAATGACAATAACATTAGTGTTACCGTGCCTGAAGATGAACATAAGGATCTAAATAGGGATTCGGCGGAAACTAAGAAAGATGATGCCGATGGGTTTGAAATTGACATGTCCGAAGGAATGGCCTTAGAAATGTTCGATATTTCATCTTCCAGTGAAGAGGTATATTCTGGACTTATACTAATTGACATTTTTTTCTTCCTTCTTAGAGGCCTTAACTTATATATTTGTAATCTCACATTTCCTAGATAGTCGAGCTTTCCATAAACGACCTCCTTTTCAAGATAAAAGTTCTTTCGAAGGAATACCAACACACATGCACATCGACCGGCCTGATGCTTTGGGAGTCCGCTCGGCTGATGGCCTCCATACTCGCCACAAATCAGGGGATTATTGCCCGAAAAAAAGTTCTAGAGCTCGGGTGTGGATGTGTGGGAATTTGCTCGATGATAGCCGCTCGATCGGCCGATCTTGTGGTGGCCACCGATGGAGACCCAAAAGCCCTCAATCTCTTGGCCCAAAACATATCCGCAAATACGGAATCAAATCTGCTCGATCGTCTAACCGTGAAGAAGCTCGAGTGGGGGAATAAAAATGATACAGAGGCCGTAAAAAAACATAACGAGGAAGGTTTTGACGTAATTATTGGTACCGACGTGACTTATGTATCCGAATCAATTTTGCCATTATTTGCGACCGCTAAGGAATTGGTTTCGAAGGGTGGACATACTGAAAACGAGAATGGGCCGGTTTTAGTGTTGTGTCACGTTTTGCGTAGGGTTGATGAGCCTTCTATAGTCTCGACTGGATCGAAATACGGGTTCGAGCTGGTGGACAGATGGCCCGATCGCACCTCAGGAGGCTCGTCTGAGGGTGTTATTAGGAATTGGATTTCTGATGATCGCCGGTTTGAACTTCCATCCACCGCGCTTAACATTATGTATTTTCGGTTCGGTTTAGATTGATGGGATTTTTGCTAATGTGAAGTTTTCATGATTTCATGTAGTTTCAAATGATGTTTTTGTTGTTTTCTTTTGTAATGAACTCGGACTAGTTTTACATGGGACTCAATATTTTTGAAACTATTCATGAGTTAAATATTAAGATATGGATTGATTTTAAGTTTAATTTGTGTAGTTTTCACATATATGCCAACATTTAAATGTATGGGATTAAAAAGCAAAAGAAAGGAAAACATAAGATATTTACAATGTATAATTAATATTGGTTGAAAACATGAAGTTATATTTTGGTAAACAAGAGCATATATATGCCTAATGTCCTAAATCAATAAATTTAGACTAAAATCTGACCATGTTCGGATCATCCTGATTATCGACGTCATATGAAAATACCTACTAATCTATAAACAAAATTTATTTTATATATATACGTAAAGTTAAAATTTATAAATATATCTATTGAATTCGTGACTTATAAAATACTCGTAGATCCCAATAAGTTGTATCAGAGCACTTGGTTAATTCATTTTGTACAAAATTTGAATTTTTACGACTTTATTTGACAATATGTGTTCAAATGCAGTCATATACCCTTCTATTTCACAATGATTTATTAACATGATTGTTATTGTACATACGCCACTTTAATGACATACAGAATCTTCAAATTATAACATTTTCCAAATATTAGTGCACAAGTTATGGGCAAAGATATCAAGGAACCCTAAAAAAGCTTGAAAGTGTACTAATTATGCTAACAACACAAAGATTTATCAATAATTCAATAAATAATTCAGTATAGTACAGAACAAAAAATAGTTATATATTCCAAAACAATGAACATTTAGATCCACAAATTACATTCTCATGACCAAACCCTAATCATATGTTACGAATTGAAACTGAATGGCATTTTTTTTTTTTTTACAGTCTCAATGACATTGCTGCAGCCATAAAAATTAAATTAAAAAAAAAAAGAAAAATGTTAAAGTTAGGAAGAAATAAGTCAATTAAACCCTTGAAGTTGGACATCAAATTAAACTATTTTCCATTATTAATATTTACAATAATTGAAGCCAATATTACTTGTTTAATACAAACAAGTGAGGATACTAAGCTAGGCAATTTAATATGAAATTGCTAAAAGATTGCAAATCAAATTGACAATTTCTCTTTTCACATGGTTAATTACATCTAACAAAAACTAGACATATATAAATGGAAATTTTTGTCTAGCTATATCTAACACTATTTATTTGTACCATACATAAGACATCCATGTGAGAAAAAAAGAATTATATTTTTATTAATTTCAACCACTAATAGTGGAGGAAAATTTTTGTGGTGTTTGAAAATGAGATCATGATGTAGCAAGGAAAAGCCCACACACAATTTTCTTCTCACCAATATGAAAGACTCTCAATAAATTAAATTTGCTCCCAAGCAAGAACAACCTTAATCTAAGTCATGCAATGTGTCAAGATCTCATTAGCACTCTCTAGTGGACACACTATTTCTTTTGTCTTTAGAGAGACACCATATATATTGATTGATTATCACATAATTACATGATCACAAAATAATTCTTTCGGAATTTGTAACCGTTAGATGATCATTTAATTGTCGTGGATAGTTGATATAATGGTGACAGTAAAATCTCCCTGAATAATATTAAAATTTAGGGAAAACAAAAAAAAGCAATAAACCCCTTATGAATCTTGTGAGCATACAAGGGAAAGTGAATGAAAAAACACATAAATAAAAACCCAAAAAAAAAAAACAAAAGGAGAAACCCACAGATCCAATCTATTAATTTCAAGAAACAAACCCAATTTTAAATTCTTTTGAGAAGATATAAAATTCAACAAAAAAAAAATGTAAATATTCATAAAAATATATATAAATTTATGATCCACTAATCAAACCGAATCCAAAACCCTAACCCTTTTTTTGACCCGACAATCCCTCTGAACAAACCCTCCTCAATCCTCATACATGGGTAAGCATTAAAAAAAACAAGCAAAAAATTAAAAAAAAAAGTTATAAAAACAGAACATATAAAAAATTATTCCTTAATTTCAATTATATGTGGAATCTTGGTTTAATTTTGTCAATCTTTAATAACATAAAATGAATCAAGAATCTTGAAACATTAATAAAAATTAAAAAAACAAATTAAATAAAAAAAAATTAACCATACCTCTAATTAAAATAAAAAAATAAAAAATAAAATAAAATAAAACTCATGCAAAATTGAAACAAGAAAAGAGA